ATAAGCTTGTAAATCCGTATCCTGAATTTACGATAAGTTTTGGCAAAGGTGTTGGAATGGCGAAGCGAGTCAAGTGAAATATTCGTGTTGAGCACGAGGCTGTCTTTCTTCGGTTAAGTTTGCTTTGAGGGTTTAGTGAAGATGTTTTATATCTGGATAACTATACGATGCTATTTTGCTTCTTTGAGTATTGATATATTTGTGTTCTTCACTTGATATTCTTTGAGATATTTGTCTCTGAAATTATATATTTCATCCATCAAATTGTTATGGTACAAAGTGTATGGCATTCGCTTTCGCTCAGAAATAATCTGTTCGTCCTACCGAATAACGGCCATCGTCCTTTGACCGAAGCCATTTGGCTTCGGTCAAAGGACGATGTAAGGGAAGTGAAAATTATGAATTATTATGTCTCGATATTCATCTATTGTAACACTAAGCTTAAAGCCTGTTTATGATCCACAGTCGATCGCGAAAGGCCGATCATGTTTATGAAAGAAATTTAACCATGATTTCAACTACATTTTCTGTTCAAGAGAATTTATTCACCGAACACAATCCAACGCAATCCACTGGATTGTGTCCGATTGAGTTCGGCTGCCGAACCAAATCGAGAACAATCTGATGGATTGAATTCGATTCCGTTCGATTTGTTTGGTTGAGTTCGATTGGTTAGGAAATCGAACTCACACAAACTTCGGTGTTCGATTTGGTTCGATTGCCGGACTCAATCGAACTCAATTCACGGATTGAGTTCGATTTCCGAACGTTCGATTACTGGCAATACCTGTCGTCTGCCTTGTTTCGTCAAAGGTTTCCATCAGTGTAGGAAGCAGCAACCCAAAGCTGTATATGATTCCCATGATGATGACAACTGACATCGCTGAGGCTGCACACACCAACCACGACCACAAGCTATCGGGACGGCACGTCGGTTCGTGATTTTCGTCATGTACTCTAAGGGCTTTCTCGCCTTTGTTGCTTTTAAAACACTTAGCCATGACACCTGAGAATGCCTAAGAGAAAACTATATATCTCAGAATAGATCCGTTTAGCATAGTCATTGGCTAATGGGTTCAGAAACAAATTTTCTAGCAACAGTGATTGCAAACTGATGCTTCGATTTTACGCAAAACTTCAGTTATCAAAGAAATTCAAACCATCTTATAACAGAATCCCCCATTGTGATAACACGTTTTGGGGGCACTTAAGTTGTTATCCTTGTTACAACAATCCAGAGGGAAACACGCTTGCAGCGACGGAGTTTATTAGACTCTTAGAAGACTCGGGATCTATTACAGCAAAACAATCCAACGGGAAGACAGAGAATACGCAGTTACTTGGGTCCAACAGTAGAGTTTAATCCAGTAACGTACACAGAACGTAAACGTAACCAATACGGGATAGTGGTATCCGGCGTCCCACCACCGGGGGCGTAACCGAAGAACTTGAATTTACAAAACACCTGTATTTATGCTAGACTCTAAACAAGTGATCTGATATTTCGTTTAGTAATCCTAAACCCCTATTGGCTGCCAATGAGCTCATTGTTGTTCTAGGTTATTCCATCATAGGCAGTCAGTTATTCTGCTCGTAAATATTAACTACTTACAACTTCGGGTAGTTCTCACTACAAGGTGTTACACGATGATATAGATAGACAGGTGGTTACCATGGTTATTGGACTTTCAGTTAACTGCTAACTGTTGGCTTTTTTATGGTTATGAATATCGGCAAATTCTCCCGTTAATCACACCATTAATCTACTAGCCTGCGAACAGGCTTCCGGCGAGGACGGAAAAAATTTCGGCGAGCGCGAAACAGAAGAATTCGGAGAGCAAAGCGATCGGGGCAGGGACAGGGGAGCCTGTAGGCTTTGTTTTTGATCTGCCTATCCGCCCTTAGTGATAAGCCTGTAACAAATCAGTCAATGAGGTAATTAGACCTGTCAAGAAGCTACATTTTCGGTACTTGCAAACAGTTCT